ATTTACTGAATATATATATTTATATATGCATGTTTGCATATATATCATGTACATGTATCCCTATGGCAACATCGACCAACAGTAACAATTGGTTTTAATACTACCTGTTGTTTACACCACCGACATCGCTTGTAGTTATACATTGCCAGGGAGGCCAGTGTAGCTGACGGTAAATAATCATATCATGTTTTACTCAACACATTATCGTACGTTTTATTAGCCATGGGCAGAAGCTCCAAAAATTTTAGTGTATCTGTTTAGATGTTTGTTTTTTATTACGTACTATACGATTGAGACTTGAGGATCTGTTGGAACTTTACCATTACAATGTATCCTTGATTTAACCCTGTTGTTCACTGGACACTCGATTCAAGTATGTTACGAGACACTATAAGTCAATGTCCTTCTCAGTATTACATTGTATGCTGCTAAGTACATGTGATCAGCTGGCCGTCTACGTCATTTATAATTCATAGAGTAACACTTCCTGTTTTGTTGTATATGGCAAAGCATATAAATAGAATTAAATAAACCATGGAGGTAACACGAAGCGCGTTTTTATACGGAATTCAATTCGAGTAGAGAAATAGTCACATGGGGGTACGAGTCAGTGTTTCTTCGGTCATAGACCCTGTGTCATAGACCTGCCGATGATTCGGTCGAACCTATCACTTTATCTGGTGCGTCTAACGTGATGTTTGGTCTACAGTACACAGGCCTCCCAGACGAGGGCATCGGAGCGAAACCAGTACAGAATATAGAATATAAAATATATGAATTAAGTTGTTTCCTAGGCAACGGTGGTTTAAGGCGCAATGTCAACACAACAGTAATATTTACTTTCCATTTAATAGGCCTGGCAATAGGTGGCGCTGTCTAACTAGATTTACATAAGTAAGTATTATCTACTGTGAAACATGTCTTTTAGCTAGCATGTTATTTTAGCTAATCTGTAATTTCGCTAATTCAAGATGACAATAATTTAAAATAAAGTATATTCTCACAATGGGAGTGTTGGCACTTTAGCTAAATTAAGATTCAGTTAATTCATGCATGGAGTCAAATTCGCTAAAATGGCATGTAGCTATTTAAACATGTTTTACAGTATTTTCCTACTATGATACGAGGCGAACATATTTCTGAAATATAGAAGATCACGATATTTATTTTAATGGCGTCCAAACCGATACACTGAGTAACCACTTTGTCTGTCTCCAGAAAAACAAATGTATTCTTTTATAATAATAAATAAATGTTTACATATCAGTAATTTGCGATATAAAGTATATGTCATAATAGTTATATGACAATTATATTTATTTATTTAGTGAGCACGTGGCCAAGTTTTGAAGAACTCTGGGAGAACTATCCCAATTACAGGGACTGGGATTCCAATACAGAAATACAACGATTATGCAAACTACAGACAGATTTGTACGGCACAAATACATGCGCTATAAGATTGAGTCACGCATTAATCAAAGCAGGTAAATATATTTCTTCGTCTACAAACTAGTATATCCATTTGATATAGGCTAGCCAATATCAAGTGTATATTCGTATATATTCGCCATATCGTCATACCACTAATATGCGATGGAGCAATATTATTATACCCCCTATGTATATGTATATGTATATGTATTGCAATTGCCATCATCTTTGTATATCATCGTACTACTAGTATATAATCACATTCGATGTGCAAATATCGCTATAAAACTCAAGTTATATCACATGTTGGACTTCGATTGGCGTTTTTATTCGTTTCTATGGATTTTCTTATATTCGATTCACCACGCTTCGCCTCACTTCAGAAATCTGAGACCTGTACAATAACCGCATAGCAACGGTGACGAGTTTATTATTATTTATTTAAATTTCACCTACTGTTGTACTGATTGGCCAAGGGAATAACACACTCCTCAATCAATCGTCAGTTTTAATGCTCATGGAAGAAACAGAAATCACACGAACTCCACTGCAGGTGATAGGAACTAGCAGCCTTTTCGACCAATAAATCAATCAATTATTACGATAAAAAGTGGTACTAGTATTCCTTTTATTTTCGTTACATGTACTAATTGGATCTTTACTAAATGACACGTGACCACATAATGGTTGTATCTAACGGAACATAGATTTTCAATTAGTGGTCATTATGAGCTTTCATAAATAAGTATTTTGATTTGGTTTGAAACAATTCTTCTATGAAAATAATGTTTGTGTAAACAAACAAACAAGGCCAGTAATTACTATTGGCTGCCTTATTGTGTAATTCAGCTTCATCGTATAATATTACCAATTTTTTTTCTAACACAGGTCATGATCTTGATGATCTAAAAGAAGGAGAGTTTAATTGGTCAGGAACTCACAATTGTGAAGGTGACAAATATATTATTGGTGCTGCAACCATGCGTTGTTATTTGGAAAGCCGTAAGGGTCCAGCCAGTCTCATTTCAAAAGATCAAACAAAATATAGGGTAGGTAACTGGACTTTTCATTTGTGTGTATTATTTGTACGATTATCTAGCGCAATATATAAAATTGCCGTTGGTAATCTGTCGAAAACAAAAACACCAACGAACGCCATTTTACATCATGAATACCTGGAGGGAATGTGCCCATCGATTTCGTTACCGATCCAATTTACATACCATTCACCACGGTCACTACTGGGTACACATATTTCATCGTGGCTCACGTGCATGACACAGGGTCAATTTACATACCATTCACCACGGTCATTACTGGGTACACAGTGTTCATCGTGACTCACGTGCATCACACAGGGTAAATATACATACATTCACCACGGTCACTCCTGGGTACACAGGGTTCATCGTGGCCCACGTGCATCACAAGGGTCAATTTACATACCATTCGCCACGGTCACTACTGGGTACACAGGGTTCATCGTGACTCACGTGCATCACACAGGGTCAATTTACATACCATTCACCACGGTCACTACTGGGTACACAGGGTTCATCGTGGCTCACGGGCATCACACAGGGTCAATTTACATACCATTCACCACGGTCACTACTGGGTACACAGGGTTCATCGTGGCTCACGTGCATCACACAGGGTCATCTACGACAGTTTGAAACTTTATAAACACATTTTTACAGGTGCTCTAAAAGTGAACAATTATACACGAGCCTCAAACTGTTTATTATTTACTTTTTACAGGGTAAAAAAGGCATAATTATATTTGAAGGAACATGTGGTCTACGAGGTGCTACTGGTCACGTGGACCTATGGGATGGCAACAGATGTGCTGGATCTGAACACTTTAACGAGAGCAAATATATTAGGCTTTACGAGTTTTAAAAAAAAATCACCAAACTTGACACGTGGTGGCGCTATTGCACAGTCTTCTTTTACATTTGTTGTTTGTTGCTTTGTCCATAGCATGTAGCATGTACAATTGTTTGAATTCGTATTTACTTCTTAAAGCGAGGGAGTCGTCACCTGCGCATGCGTTAGATGACCATAGCGTGTCATTGTTTACAAACATGCGTCTACCCAAGAGCCTTAGCGTGTGTTGTTATCGTCGCTTGGGACTCAATTCCCGCGCGTGCGCAGGGGACGACACTCCCGCTCTAAAGTAATAGTATTCAGTGCAGAAAGTGATAAAAATAAAAGCAGAATAAGGTTGCCTAACACATCAACCACACATACATAAGTATAATCGCAGTTGAGATAAAATAACATTATTTGGATATCGTGAATTCACGGTCCGATAGAAAACCAACGCCAATCAGTGGATGTCGGCGACCAGAGAATTGATCGTAGTGACGCCAATCACGTTTAACAGTTATTATACAAATGTCCTTGACAATGGTATTTTTATTTAATTTTAATAGATTTGACAGAATTTTGTAATAAAATCACGATAACTAATCCTTCTCAACCAGCTTTGTAAAGTCGTGTGGGATTGCGCTGTAGATGTATAGAAGTCTGGAGCTGGTATTCCATTTAAAGCGGGGGAGTCGTCACTTGCGCATGCGGCAAACGGGCATAGCGTTGTTTTTCACAAACATGCGTCTACCCATGAGCCTTTGTGTTTTAGCGTGAGTACTTTCCGTTGTTTTGGAGCACGTGCGCAAGTCTTGACCTCTCCATATAAAGCGAATTTAAAACGATGAACGTTGATTCTGTGTGAACACTAGTGGTATCCATGTGGTCTGTATAGTCGTGCGTCTTTCATCTCGATCAGCAAACGCCTTCCATATATTAATTGATTGTCCTACATTGATGATATTTAGTTTTACAAAATAATATGGGATCGCTGGAGCCTCCATCCACTGTCCATTTTTATACACTAGATACCAACCGACAAAGACTATGTATACAGTTTATTATAGTTCCTGGGCTCACTGTTGGTTTAGGTTTAGCAGTCTTTTGATGAAGCCTCACGAATTGTTCCCACGAGAGCAGGTAATTTATATCATGTTTTTACCAACTTCCCCCGGGTTTCCACGACCGCGCACCGACCTTTGGGCCAGAGTGTAAAATATCTATGTATCTAACTTTCAGAAATTTGATTTTGTCACACTCAAATCTTCATTATATAATCGGCAAGTATATGGTACCCCGAAAAGTGGCACAGCGATCATATACGCATTTTTATTTGGGTCAGGCATTCCCAGAACTAACATGCAGTCTGAGAGAGTACAATGGATAACGCTGGAAGTCTAAGTCTAAGTCACACTGCGTTGGCACTTTAATTACTGGCTGACCTAGTTGTACCATTGATGGCTTCGCGATAAGAGCGTTTTGTACACAGAGTAGAGTACATTTCAGCGCGATAAAAGTTACGGCTATTTCCTCATGACATCATTTCTAAAAATATACATTTTTGAGAAAGTCACGTGGT